TGGGGATTCGAACCCGCCACCTTAGGTGTATGTGGCTGGCACCTTAGCTGCTTGAGCCACAGGTGCCGAGCCGAAACATTATCTTTCAAAATTTATTTTGAAGTTGACAGTTATTTAATATGCCAACTGTACTAGTTATTTATGTCTTTGCTTTTTGTTTTTTTCAGACAGAGTCTCAAGCTGTTACCCTAGGTAGAGTGCGATGGCATCATAGCTCACAGCAACCTCAAACTCTTGGGCCCAAGCAATCCTCTTGCCTCAGTTTTTCTGTTTTTAGTAGAGACAGGGATCTTGTTTTAGCTCAGGCTGGTCTTGAACTCCTATACTCAAGTAATCCGCCCACCTCAGCCTCCCAGAGTGCTAGGATTATAGGCATGAGCCACCATGCCCTGCCTGTATCTTTGCTTTTCAAAAGGATTTTTGTGCTTCAGAGAATAACACACATATAGCAATGCTGTTGACAGAGAATTTTATTTATAAGATCCTCTCACAACTCATTTGTTCTGTGGATAAGGTTATTAGAGGTTCAGAGAAATTAAAGGCCTTCCCAAACCACCAGGATAGTAAGTGGCAGAAGTGCTTAGGCCTGGGTTTGACTCTCATTGAGGAGCTTTTGCAGCCTTATCATGCTGTTTTCTGTTATTCTTTGATCATTGACTACTTTTATTTATATATAGCTTTGCCAGGATTTACATGATCACAAATTGTTATACATACTGTGGTGGTACTTGGTACTGTTAAGTGCATGCAGTAGTCAAATGGGAATTTAAAAAATGTTTTTGTCTAGTCCTTACCTATCTCGTTTTTTTCAACCAAGGACTTTTGTTCGCAAGTGTAAGTGGGAGTTAGGAAAATGCAACTAGATCTCTTGGCTCTGTTTTTCCTCTGCTGAACGTTGGAAGAATAAGAGTTACCTTGGGCTACACATTAAATTCACAACTACTAATGGCAGCTGATAAATAACAAGAACAAAAGGTCTATGCGTAGTTCTCATGATACACAGCATCACAGATAAGTAAAAAATGTCCTCACAAAATCAGCATTCGACCCTTGGGTTGCATACCCCTGGCTAGGCAGAAGATACAATGTGATGGTATTTCAGAAAGGTCACCCCAGCCAGAACTTCCAGCAAATCATGTAAGAGGGACTCTTGTTCATAGCACACTATATACTTAATAATCATTAAATAGTAACATAGGTATTATTCAGCACACTTATTTGTGCTTTAAATGAAATTTGGAAATCTTATCAAGAAGTTCCTTTTGAAGTGAAATTGGTAGTCTTTCTTAATTTTAAGTAGTAATAATAGTACAGTTGTCCCCTGGTGTCTGTTGGGAATTGGTTCCATGCTCTCCCTTGAATACTATTATAAAATCTGTAGGTGCTAAAGTCTAATACAACATAACACAGTATAACAGTTTACTGATAAAAGGCCTTGTGTATGTCTTTATGCTCTGAGTAACGTATAGAGTAGCTCTTGCTTTATATTCATTTGCAAATTATCTTATTTACAGAATTTGGAGGTTTCGGTTCTGTTAGTGGGAAAATTGAAATAGAAATCAAGATCAACCATGAAGGAGAAGTAAACAGGGCCCGTTATATGCCCCAGAACCCTTGCATCATTGCAACAAAGACTCCATCCAGTGATGTTCTTGTTTTTGACTATACAAAACATCCTTCTAAACCAGGTACCTTCCCCTTTCTGTTCAAGTGCAAATGACTGTGGGAGTACATGACTCTGCTCATTTGGTTTAATTGCTGGTTGTTATTTGTATAATTTAACATCTTCTGATTTATATTGATGTGTGGATGTTCATGGTTTTTCTCTTAAGTGAAAAATAATGCTTCTTTTTATAGAACATAATGATGGCATAGATTAAACATTATCTATTTAGTTGAAACAGTTTCTTTATTGCTTATAAGTGCTAAGAGCTTTAGACATCAATGGATCAAAAGTCCATAATATTGGCTCGGCGCCTATAGCTCAACCGGCTAAGGCGCCAGCCACGTACACCTAAGGTGGCGGGTTCGAATCCCCAGCCCGG